TCCGCTGCTTCTGCGCCGCCGAGACCCCACCCAGGCCGGCCGCGCGGGCCGGAGCTCAGGAAGCTCAGGGCGGTCCTCGTCAGTGCCAGGTCGCGTCCCCACTGCAGTCTGCTAGTTCTTCCTGAAGGACGGCACGGCGGGGGGTGGGTGGGTGATGGGGGCAGAGCTGCAGAATACATTTCTGCCAATTTTTTCTTAGAAGTTATTTTTCAATTAGAATACTTTTAAAGCAAAAAAGAATTTTTAATGCTCAATTTAGAGTGTCACTTCCAAAAACTTTTCGCGGAGGAGCAGCGTGGGAGCTGGGCGCAGAAATGGCGGCAGCGGGGGCGGGAGAGGGGGCGTCTTGCACCCCGCCTGGCGCATCCGCACTCACCCACGCGGCCCCCGTCCACGTGCGCGCGCTCGCACCGAGGCGCGCACCCACAGCCCTCTCCCTGGCTGTCCTGCGATCCCGACCCAGGTGCTTTCTCCGCGGCCCGAACTCCGGCCGCCCCAGTGCGCGGACTCCGGCCTCTCGCCCTCTGCTCTTCCCCCTTTCTCACGGTTCTGTTCCAGCTGTCACTAGCGCGCTAGCCCTGCTGTCCCGCGTGGTCCCCAGGGAGAAGCAGAAGACGCCGACTGCGGGCGGGGATCCCGCCACGTGCCCGACCTCCCACCTCCGTTGTCCCGGCCCCGCCATCTCTCTGTCCAGTCTCTCCGCTAACTTATGTCGGCCCCCTTTTCCGCTTCCCAAACGCGGGCGGGTTGCGGGTGGTGGCGGCTTGATGGCAGGTCGGGGAAGCGGAGGAGGGGCAGGACGAAGGGTGTCCTGGGCAGGGGGGCACACCCGCAGTTCCCGGGCCCAGCTCTAGGAGCTGTTGCTGGGGCCATGGAGCCTCGCCACCGCGCGCTTCTGGTGGACCCGAGCCAGGCCGGGTAGTGGGCAGACCGCTGCAGGTGTGGGGACTGGGCGAGGGGAGTCAGGTGCGCGGCGGCGCCCACTGTGGATGGGAGCCCAGCTCTACCAGGTCCGAAACCCCCTCGCCCACCATACTGCCCCCTCTCCCGCGCCGCCCGGTGGTCAGGGAAGTTAGATGGGCCGATACGGGACAGTCCAAACCGTTCGTGTGTGTGTGCGCACTCGTGCCACAACTCGCACTTCTCCCGCCCCCAAGATCTCCTGCCAGGTGTGCAAATGCGTGTGTACCAGGGCTCTGGGCACCCCTTCCCACTCCTCACCCCTCCCGAGCCCCCTTCCCGCTTGTCTTCACCAGGGTCACTATGGGGACGCGAGGGAGAGACTTGTATTTAATTCCCACCGCTATTCAGAGGGAAGGGAAAATAAAGGCACCAGAGGCACCCAGAAAACAGTTTACTTCAAGCCTTTATTACTGCAGCTTAAAAGAAGTTTATATACAGGCCCATTTCCAGCAACACACTCACTAAATGGCCTTCGAGTCGGGCCTCCGCCTCCCGCCCGCAGTCGGCAGCTCTGCCCGGGAGGCCCCTTGCTGGGGGCTCCAGGCCCTCCCCCCATCTCCTTTCCTGGACTTCACTACTCAGTTCCTCGGAGCCCCAGCCTCCTCTTCGCTGGGCGCTGCAAACCTCGCCAACTGAGCTCCAACTCCCTTCTTCCGGTCTTGAAGCAGACCCCCACCCCAAACCCCCTCTCCCACCCCACTCGTGGTGGCTTCCTCACGGAAACCCAGAGCACTCTCCCCCTCTCGCTGCGGGCGCAGCCACGAGCCCCCTGCAATTCAGAACCAGCTCGTGGTCGAGACCAGTTAGAGACAGCTCGTCATCAGCAGTGGGGGTCGTGCGCCCCCAAAATAAGGGAGGGAAACTACCCTGCCCGCCCTTCCCCATCCCCGGCCCCTTCCCCCAACTCGGGGATAAGAAATAGACACAAAAGCAGCAGGGCACCCCCTCCCCCCGCGCGCGAGGCGGGAGTGGAGGAAACACGCGA